AGGCGTCGTTTCTCAACCTTTTTTAAAACTTGTGATTAACGTCCCCAGAGTCCTATTTCCTACCAACGTACAGTAAAACTCATTTCCTCAGTTTAAAATTCACGCAACCCAAGAAGCAAACTTGGCAATGGAGTAAGTCCCTCTCCACTAGACAGATTGCTTTGTAAGCCAGAACTATTAGAAAGGAGTGGGTCCAAGGCTAATGAGGCACTCATGAAAGAGCGTGCGCATTGTAGGCAGAGAGGACCCTGTGCCTGCATTGAAGGGGCAGCTATTGTTATGTTTGCTGTGCTGATATTGTAAACCACATGACAGATGGGTCAAGTGCTGATTACAGTATTCTAACATTTGGAATAGCAAGTAACATATTTGATAAGCTGGCAAGTTTTTATATATGATTCAATCCACAATATAAAAGCCATGAGAATTCCAAATGGAAAATAATTAAATGAGCTGGAAACAATCAGATACCACACATCCACCCCCCTCTCTGATCCCCCCCCTCAAAAAAATTGACAGATTTTTATATCTTGAAATTCCACAAAGGGAGGGAGAACATATCTTAGCTCTCTTGAACTAATAAAGGCCCTTCATCTGCTTCCGTAAAGCAATTCGTTCGTGCCTTCTTACAGCGTGGAAGTTAACGGTAAACATTCATCGGCACCTTAATGCTTGCTTTGCTCTGTGACAACCCCACTGCCAGGTAGACTGAAAGGATATTTAATAGTCACCATTTAGAGATGAGGACACGCAGGAGCAGAGAGGCTTACAAAGCAGGTGTGAGGTTAGGTAGCAAGTTAAGTAGCAAGCATATGGAGGCTGAGAAGCCAGCTCCTCCCAGTCTTCCGTGCTTCCGGTCATCTGACAGGAAGCAGCGGCTGACACACAGGTTCGGTGTTGTGTCAAAGGGTGTCTTCTTCTGGGTGGGGATGCTGCCGTTTGCGAATAGCAATCTGGGTAAAGACACGGCCGGTGTTTCCAAGCAGCTTCTGAGTGTCTCGGTCGGGGCGGTGCTGGTGACACGGTGCCTTGTCAAACGATGTCACCCCTCTGGAACGTGGGAGTCGCGCTGAGAAAGGAGCAGCTCGCCATTGGTGTTTCACCGTTGCGTCTGGTCGTGCTTTTCAGAGTCTGTCATCTGACTTGCCACCCTCTGTTACAGTCATTGTGTCTCTTGACTTTTGTTTTACTGTCTCTCTCCACCTTCCTGAGCAGCTCCCCCACCGCCTCCCGGGCCTCCTCCACCCACCCAGTGGCAGACCAGCATGTTCTATCAGAGGCTCAAAGGCATGCCTGGGCCTAAACCAAGTACTGTAAACTTCCAGCTTTCTTCTACTCGGCAGCTGCCTAGTTTAGTTGGCTTTCTCTGTTCCTGTCTCTTCTTGGCATTTCAGTTTGGAATATGAAGCTGAGGTTCAGGCTCTCGACGTTTTAACCCCGTAGGTCTCGAGAGACTCAAAAGAGAGCACTTATTTCCAAATGTCCACCTTTTTTTTTTTTCCGTCGAGCTATGTCTGACATATGCAACATTCTCAAATCTCAATGTCAGCACAAAATAACATTGTTGTTGCATAACATTGTTGCATGACGACTTTTCTCTATGTTCTGAGCTTCCGTTCTGTCGTATGAAATGTCTCTAAAGTATACTGTAGTTTTTTAAAGCATACTGTACTTTTAGTTTCCTTTCCTCAGTGCTCCAGCTAATACAAGATTGGGGCGGGGTGGGGGTGGAAGTAGGACCCTCACAAAAGATTTGTAAGACAGAAAAATTGACCCCCCAAAATCTCTAAGCACAAAATGTTGACCTCGGCGGTGGGCGGGGAGGAAGGAGTTGCAAAAGAATTTTGCACCGTATTTTCTTTAAAGACAACATCCTAGAGAAGTCATTTTTGAATCACTTTTGCCATTTAGCTAGCAAATTAGCTAAGCAAATGAAGGACATAATAGTGCTGTGTCTCAATAAAGTGGCTTGATCTGCAGATAATGGAATGGAAGCTAATTAATAGTAAATGAAAGTCTGGTTACATGGGTTAATTGGCAGATCAAGTGTTCTAGATTAAAGGATCCTTAACCTGCTTACTTTAATGGATGCATGTTCAAGTAAACTTGGAAACGGTTTCATTAAACATACTGTCTGTATATATACATCAGGCAAACACATATCTGGGTACATGTGCATGTACTCATAAAATGGCTGCGTGCACATATACGCTCTATGTGTATATATTTATCTATATTGTAGTTAATCTGAGAGTGGTGTATATTAATACAAATCTTCAGATGGTCTTTGCTTGAGCATCTTGGATTTCTCCAAACATGAAAATCATCCACAGTTTATAAGAAGTATTGATGGGAACTATTTCACTTTTATAACACATGCCGTGTACAGCTAGAGCTCCCTGAGATTTCGTAAGTATTCCAGCCCCCAAGAGAATGCGCTCTACTTGTTAAAGCCAGAGATTCCAAAGGTGTGCCTCAAGCAGGCCCTCTCGCAGAGTTGTACTAATGTGCAGGCCTGTCTGGCTATTAGGAAATGTATGTCAGCGTGTGATGCGTGTTTGTCGGTGTATGTGTCGAATGGGTAATAAGCATAGGATGAGGAACTTGCAAATTGATGTGTAAATGTGAATATCAACTAATAAAAAATAGGAGCCTGTGCATGTTTACTATCAAGATGCAAATGCCTCACTCTATACATATTACCTAAACATATATACACAGTATGTTGATAGAAATGCCAGAAAGTCTACCGATGAAATTATGATGATTGATTTTATAAAATTATAAATAGGCCAGAAACCCCCCTCCCTAAAAAAAACACACAGAAATCAATCTTCTCATACTTTCTTTCTCCCACTAGTTAATGCTCTAGGCCAAATAATGAGCTCCCACGCCCGCCTACTCTCGGATCTTCTCTTTCTGATCCTGTCTTCATGCCATAACCATCCAGCAGATGTCTCACAACAGCCTTTGGGCCTTGTTGGATGGAGACGCCAACTCTTGGGTAATCTTACCCAGTCCCATCCATCATTTGTAGCTCCCATTGGCTGGAACACTCTGCTTGCATAGGGTCCCACCAAATCTGGTTCACATTATTAAATCCTAATCACAATAATGTGCTCTTCACTGAGCTAAGAAATATTCAGAGGAAAATTATGAAGCCTTTAAGACAAATAAGGAACAGGGAAGACACTGCTGGATAAGCCTTTGGGCTGCTAACCTCAAGGTCAGAAGTTCCAACCTACTAGCTGCTCCTTTAGATAAATAGGAGGATATCTACTTCCATAAAGATGTGCAATCTTAGAAACTCTAAATAGGGTCACTGTGAGCTGGAATCGATTTGGTGGCAATGGGTTTGTGGTTTGCGGGGGTGGTGGTGTTTGTTCTTTAATTGGCAATCCATTATGATTTGGTTTTGATCTACTTCCCAAAATACCAGCTATTTGAAACCCTGTAGAGCATAGTTCTATTCTGGGGTCACCATGAGTTGGGGTAAACTGGATAGCAATGAATTTATGAATTGCTTTAAAGTCCCTGTTCCTAAACCCCCCAAAATAACAAACCCACAAAACTTCTTATGGAGTGTCAGGTAGCCCGCACTTTCAGGTGAGAAGAAGAAAATGAGTTTCCTTTTGCGCAGATGCATGCAGCAAACCACCATCAATTCCGTTTTACCTAGGCATTCGAAATGAGCCAGAGGCTCCAAGGTTTCAAGGTTCTACGCAGAAATAAAGGAGCCCTAGAGAGAAAGATGAGGCTTTCTCCTCCCATAAAGAGTTACAGTATGGGAAACCCACAGGGGTTGGGACCAGTCAGCATTGTCTTGATGGCAGTGAGCTTGAGGGATGGAGCAGTAAAAGCACCTGCTGCTAAATCCAGGCCGATTCAGATCCACTCAGAGGCCTGGGACTTTGCTTCCATCAGAATTACAGCCCTGGGGACCCTGGAGGAGAGCTCTGCCCTTCATGTGGGGTTGCTATCAGTCAACGATTGACTCAAGGGCGCTTCCCTACAAGCAAATCCTAGCAGCTCTTGGGACAGATCAAACTGATTGAATTCAGGCAGTTTCATGGGCTAAGAAACCCTTTATCTTTATTTTTCTCTAAGAAGAGAAAAAAGTTGCAAAGAGCTGACATCATCATGGCATTGCTAAACAGTCATGAACTGAGGTCCAGGCAGAAAATATGCACTATTAGCCAGGTTAGGTTGCTTCTGGAGCCATGTAAAAACACAACCCTTACAATATAATGGAAATTGAGAACCAAGGCCACAGCGGAGCGCTGTGCTGCAACTTAAATTTTCTATTGTACCCTCCAGTGGCGCTCCTAATCTGCCCCAGTGGTAATCTACCCCAGCACCTTTTCAGTCATTCCGTCCCACCCTTTACCTAGTGGCCCAGGAATGTCTGATTTTCTTTGCAGTCTCCTCCCTGGACAGCTTGAAACAATGAGACCTTTTGAATCTACTTTCTCAAAGTGAGTGTTCCAACCCCTGCTAAACCCGCAGAGCTTGTAATGCAAAGCAGTGTGATCCTATCAAGTGCATAGTGGCCAACCCAGAAAACAAATGCAGTGATCAAGATTAAGCTTCTGTTACATCTTCCCCCTTCATGTCGCACGAAGCACACAGGCTAGAGAATGATACCAGATAGTACCTTTAATGCTGTCTTTAAAGAATGTGTGTACAAAATGCCACCAAATTGGACATGGGCTGCCATAGACTTTGCATCGTTAGAAATGCAGATTTAAAGCTGGAGCACTGTTCTTTGTTTCTGTTTTTTTCCTCTAATATGTATTATAATGACTATGGTGGTAACAATAACGAAATGGCTTTATGGTTTGCTCACTGCTAATTTACATGGCACTGAACATTTGCATGTAACTTTACTTTAAAAAAGCAAAAACAGATAACTCTCCTAACTGTTTTATCTACTAGTTCTAATGGCCACAAACCTAGCCTGCTGTTTTCTCTGGGTTGTAATACCAATTCTTGTACCACAGAAAATGTAGGCCGGTTAATCACACCTGCCAAAAAGCTCGAAGACACAATCCGTCTTGCCGAACTAGTCATTGAAGTTCTTCAGCAGAATGAGGAGCACCACGCGGAGGTGAGCCGGTGTGGCGGGCAGTGTCTTCGGTTTTGCTTAGCTGGGGTCGCTGACCTCTTCTAGCGGCCAGGTTGGACTCCAAGATGACCTTTGACACCCGTTTTCTTGCAACTGGGCTCACCAAGAGAAGGGAAGTGGAAGTGGTTTGCAAGGAAAGCCTTGGGGAGGTTGCTGAAAGCCACCCCAAAGTGCATTTTGTACGTTTCAGCCCAAGTTTTCAGGTGGTATCTAAACACGGGCAAAGGAGGTGAGTGTGTTTTATAGCTAACTATTCAAGCAGGATGGTCACCTTGTCCAATGCACACAATATATGTATATATATTT